CGCCCAAACGTCCCGCGGCACCTCTGACATGTGCGCGGCGTGTCAGAGTACGGACGGGCAGCTTGGGTAGCACACGTATCCATATCCGGTCAGCTATTAGGGCAGGTATCTCACCCCTATAAAAAGGGGATGAGCCTTTCTTCCTTAACACATTCTATTCATTCTCTAAATTCCAGTATACTCATACACATATTGACTTAAGCATCGGAGGCTCTTCACCGGATCCAACCCCCGGTGTGAGAGTTATTTGCAGGTTCTCGGCGTTCTACCGGCAAGGACAAGAATCGATCTACTCCAAACCGGACTCGGACGCTTACACTTGCATTACATATCATATCTCGTCTCCCATCAAGATCACAACAACCACATTACTCATGTGCACATCTATCGCTAGCCGCAGAACGGGGTTTCATTACCCGAAGGCGGGAGTACATGCCACGCTACGGACATGCCTTCCATATGGGCTTACATACCTCACAAGGGCACGGCCATATCTGGACTTAAGGAGACTTGCCTCACAAGGGCAACCGTATTACATCGACGGGGATAACCGTACCGACGGCCGTAACAGCTCACATCGATAGGTTACATATTTCATGTTCATGCATAGATCATACTCACAAAATTAAACACTTATCATTCATGGCATAGACAATTTAAATAAGACCCACATGGACGATAACAAACGAAAGCACAACAATAACGAGTAGGCGACGAGCTCGGCTCGTCAAACACCTACATTTATTAAAATAGTCCTATAAATGACTATTCAACACATTAACAACTAATCATAACAATCACTTAGTCCAACAAAGCTCACATAAGCATTTAATCAAGGAAAACCCATTTTCGAAAATACCACATACGTTTTTCAAAACTTAACCCGGACAGCGTTTTTTTAAAATCAACATAACTTTTAGTACAAAACTCGGATGAATATGATTCAAGTTGATTTGGAATCCTAAGACATGCATCTACAATTCTTATAAAGAAACCTAAAGCAAATAAGGTCGTGTACTAGGAATTAAATTGTAACACCCCGCTTTTCCATAAATATCAGAGTGCATTTTTCGCAAATTCTTTTCTTAATAATACATATTTATTTGCGAAATCCTTTTCGGGATGCTACTAAAAACCATTCATTGCTTAAGAAATCCGTTCCCATTATTTAAATTTAACCTTGAAGAATAAACGGATTAACTTAGATCAACTTGCATGTAACACTTTATAAAAATCTGTCTAATAAATCAGTTTAAAAATAAAAACTGACATGCTAGTTGAAATATCTTAAAGTGACAGCGGAAATCATACGTGGCAAAACATAGCTGTACAATCATGTACAATGGCTGCTAGCCATATCTCTGACCACGATCCACAAACCAGCTCATTCC